AAAAAAAAAAAAAAAAAAAAAAAAAAAAAAAAAAAAAAAAATGGGGGTGGGAAGGGTGAAGGAGGTGGGTATAGAAGAAAAAAGAACAACTGAAGGACATTGTGTGATGGCAATGAGATTTACTTGGAGGTTAGTTGGGAGACATTGATAATGCTTATTGTATTTTAATTTTGAGAGGAACGCGAGCCTGAGCTGCTGGTTAGTGCTTCTGGAAGAAGCAGTCTTCAAGGAAGCCACCTTTCAGTCAAATATAAAATGGGGCTGGTGCCTTGTTTTCTCCCTACGTTTTACAGCTCATGCCCTCATGAGGAATTTTATTCCCTCACACTGCTTCATCCATTCTCTTCAGTAAGCATGCTTATCCGCATCTGTGATGGTCCCTGGTCAGTTTTAGAAGTACACAGAAGCTACTCTAGATATTTTAAGCAGAAAGGCATTTCATACAGGAACTAGATGTTAAAAAATAATGTGTATAGTTCCGGAAGATGCTACATTTACCATAACCAAAAGGTGGAGACTGAGAAGTCCACACACTTGAATTGTAGACATGAAAAAAGCCCCATGGAGCCTGTGATTCAGGGATCAGGACGCTGCCCTGTGCTGCCACAACTACCTTTCAACACCAGTGACATCCTGGACCCAGGGATGCTGCTGTCGAACTCCTGGCTTCTTGACTGCTTGCCAGCAGAAAACAGAAGAGCAGGAAGATAGAACTCTCTGACTCTGCCTTCCAATTCTCATATGAGATATCTAATTGGAAAAAAATTGCATTCAGACACTGCCTTTAAGGAAGTGTGGGAAAAATCAATGTAATCCATCACACTAACAGACTAAAAAAGAAAAATCACATGATAGTATTAATAGATGCAGAAAAGGCATTTGACAAAATCCAACACCCATTTATGATAAAAACTCAGAAAACTAGCAATAGAGGGGAACTTCCTCAACTTGATAAAGACTACAAAAACCCTGCAGTAGCTTTATACTTAATGGTGAGAGACTCGAAGCTTTCCCACTAAGATCAGGTACAACAATGCCCTGTTTTACTGCTCCTTTTCAGAGTCATACTGGAAGTCCTTGCTAGTGTAATAAGGTAAGAAAAGGAGATAAAAGGTATACAGGTTGGAAAGAAAGACAAAACAAAAAAACACCCAAAAGAAACAAAAAAAATCTCCTCCTGGAGCTAATAAGTGATTATAGCAAGGTTGCAAAATACAAAGTTAACATACAGAAGTCAATTTTTTTCCTATATACCAACAATGGACAAGTGGGATTGGAAATTAAAAATATAATACTGGTTACATTAGCACCACCCAAAATGAAATAGGTATAAAGCTAACAGAATATGTACAAGATCTGTATAAGGAGAACTACAAAACTAATGAAAGAAATCAAATAATAGCTAATAAATGGAGAAATATTCCATGTTCATTGAGAGGAAGACTCAATATTGTCAAGATGTCAGCTCTTCCCAACTTAGTTGATCTACAGATTCAATGCAGTCCCAATTAAATCCCAGCAAGTTATTTTATGAAAGTTGACAAACTGATTCTACAGTTTATTTATTTTTGGCTGTGCCATGCGGCATGTGGGATCTTAGTTCTCTGACCAGGGATCAAACCCATGCCCCCAGCAGTGGAAGTACAGTCTTAACCACTGGAACAGTAGGGAAGTCTCTGATTCTACAGTTTATTAGGAGAAGCAAAAGAACCAGAATAGTCAACGCAATCTTGAAGGAGAAGTACAAAGTTGGAGGATTGATGCTGCTTGACTTTAAAACTTACTATAAAGCTACAGTAATCAAGACAGTGTGGTATTGTTGAAAGAATAGACAAATAGATCAATGGAACAGAATAGAGAGCCTGGAAATAGACCCCCCATAATATAATCATCTGATCTTTGACAAAGGAACAAAGGCAATGCAAAAGAAGTATGGGTGGTGTTTTTGTTTTCCAGTTGACTGGGAGAGTTGGAAGAAACCATTTTCATTATAATAGCCAAGTGCTGTGAATATTCTCAGCCTGTCACAGTTAAGGCTTAAACCAAAGGAGTGGATCTCTAATAATGGAACTTCATCTATCAGTGAGAGAAAGTATTTTTTCTCTTAGTGCTGGAAGGGCTTTTCAGATCTTAACACATAAATGATCCTTTACCAACTTTACCTTTGGCCTTCTGGTACCTTACGGTTATGACTATCCAGTAGAGAACAAAACCCTCACTTTTCTATTTATCACTACTCAGGAATGTGTTATGTTCTCATATGTAATTTTGTAATTGAGATGATCAACTAGGTTGTCCCACCTCAGGCTCTTACTATCCTCCATTGTGGTGAAACACAACTCTGAGTGCACATAATGGAATGTGCAAAGGAGGCACATCTGTGCTGGTTGTACACTCTGCACTGCAGGAGCTCTGTGGGGGCAAGCACCAAGTCCCAGGCCAGAGCCACAGCCATCCAAGAACTGGCAAGGAGCCCAGGAGACACTCTCACCTGATGCTGCTCCTCAGGATGAGTCTTGGAGGGACGGTTTTCAAAGGGCAAGAAAGAGGCTCTCACTGCTGCACTCTTCTCTACTGTAAGTGTTACCATTCTGCACACAGAAATGTGAGAGCCCTAGACAGGGTATTCACATTTCTCCAGACACCCATCCCACCCTGCAGCCTGAAGATGGGATCCTTGCCATGAAACAGTGAAGTCTTTCACTTCATCTTTCACAAAACATCCTCGTTGTGATCAAATCCATAGACAAACATTATCAACTGTTTTCTGTCACTCTAAGAGCAAATGTAGGAAGCTGTTTCTATTTTCTGAGCACTGAGAGAACATAATATATGATTACAAGGAAAGCTTTATGTTCTGAGAGACTTTTAGTGATTCTTGAGACCACTCCTCCTTACTATCCCCCAAGGGGAGGTGAGGATGGGGGAGGAGGCATCTCATCAGTGCTGTTAGACTGCTTGAGCCATGGATCAAGTTCCCCTTTGCTAATGTAGCCAAGGGAAGAATGCCAAAGAAGGAATGCTCCTTAATTTAAGTGAACTGGAGGTATTTACAGAATGGAAATCAATCTGTTTTGAAATTTAAAAAATGATCTGAACAAGGATCCTCTCCTGATCGATATTATGGTTAGATTAGAGTTTACTGATGTGGATTTCAGGCAAGGATGACCTCAGGATCATCCTTTTTGGATCTTCTCCCTCCTGCTGCTGCCTCCTTCTTCACGTAAGGTCCAATCTGAATGGTGTTCTCATAGGAACTTTCTAATGGCCTGACCCTAGGCTGTTACTTATTTTGACAACATCCTGACCAAAGGCCTTATCTTGGAACATCAGGCAGCTTGAGGGGCAGTGAAGAAATCCTTATTTGGGACTATTATATAGACCTTTGTTATATAAACCTTCGTAATTGTTGCCAAAACAATTGTAAAACATGGCTTATGTTAATCAATGAATCTTATTGAAACCGTGGTCTAGAATTCCAGGAAAAATTGACATCTAGAGGTCAAAAAATTAAAGACAAGGATACACTTATGTCTTTGTCTGTTCAGGCTGCTGTAACAGACTACCATGGACTGGGTGGCTTTTAAACAACAAAAATTTATTTCTTACCATTTTGGAGGCTGGGAAGTCCAAGATTAAGGTACTGGCAGATTTGGTGTCTGGTGATAGCCCACTTGCTGGTTCATACATAGATGGCTGTCTTCTCGCATGGCAGAGGGGCAAAGGAGCTCTCTAAGGTCTCTTTTATAAGGGCACTAATCCCATTCATGAGAGCTCCACCCTCAAGAGCTAATCACCTTCCAAAGGCTCTACCGCAAAACCAGTTGGGTGACCTTGGCTCATGCTTAGTGTCCCAGTGGGGCTATTAATACCACCCCCTTTCACTGTCAGAAGGATACCAGTATGGACAGTGTCTTAGTCCATTTGGGCTTCTGTAACAAATTACCACTGACTGGTTAGCTAGTAATCAACAGAAATTTATTGCTCACATTCCTGTATTCTGGAAGTCCAAGATCAAGGTGCCAGCATGGTCAAGTGGGGGTTCGCTTCCTGGTTAAATATATGGTTGTCTTGTTGCTGTATCCTCACATGGTGGAAGAGGATAGGGATCTCTCTGGAGCCTCTTTATAAGGCACTAATTCCATTTATGAGGGCTCCAATCTCATGGCTTAAGTATCTCCCAAAGGCTCCACATACTAATATCATCACATTGGGTATTGTGTATGGACACAAACATTTCAGACCATAGGCAACAATAAATCTTATTGTTGCCTAATATATACGTCATTAGTCTAGGGTATGTGGTCAGTCAGTGTAAACTCTGTGATGGTATCATCATTAGATGAGACCTAGTACTATAGAAGACAGGAGAAATAGACTGCACTGGAGGTGAAAAGAAGGAAGACAGATCCCATAAAAAGATAAAGCTGCTGATAGGCAAGCCCTTTATCCTTTAGGCAACAGAATCTACTACACCTCTGATATCTGAAATACATATGTCAAATATGAGAGGTATGTGAAGTATTTGAATGAGAATGTGTAATTTATTAGGATACATATTTATAATTATTCATCCTTTACTAAGTGCAATTTTTTAGCTGCTGGAAATAGAAAAATGAACAAGAAAAGGATTCTGCCCTCAGGGAATACTAGATCTACTTCAGTGTGTATTAACAAGCTCTCTTCAATCTTGGAGTCATTTTCATAAGCCCAAGTTACAGAAAATCTTTACTTCCCAAATCACTTCCCTCAAGGAACTCTACCACATACTTAGAAAAGGTCTTGAACTCCTGATCTATTTATAAAAGCATGGAACATAAAAATGAAATCAAAAAATTTTAGGCAATCATCTAGAATTTTCTATCCAGCAAAACTCTGAATTTTCTGTAATGATGTAAATATTCTGTACTTTTGCTGTCTGATGCCATAGCCACTAGCCACGTGTAGTTATTGAACACTTGATATTGGCTAGGGCAACTGGGCAACTGATTTTTAAATGTTATTGAATTTAAATATAAATTGCCACATAGCTAGTGGGTACTGTTTTGGACAGTACAGATTCTAGACCTTTTTTGATTCTCAGTTAAAATAGTCAAGTTTTTTGCTCTTTTTACTTGGATGTTTTAGCACTGTAGGGGTATGACATATGTCCTAAATGAAAGTGGGTAAATCACAGGAATGACAATTCTACAGTCTCCATATTTAATGAGAGAAATGTATTTATTCACTCAGTCAAATTAGATTTATTGAGCACAACTGTGTGCTGGGCACAATGATGAGATATGATGTACATGGACTTGCCCCCAGGGGATTATAGGGCTTCAGGATAAATAATTCATCAGTGCTGGTAATGGGAATCATTTAGTGCCCATCTTAGAATATTTTTTCTACTCTTTTTCCTTTCCCAGACACCAAATCAGATGTATCAGAAGTTTCTGGCTGCTTAAGCCTTAAAGTAAACAGAGGTCAGGCAATATCTCTGTACTGTGAAAAGGGGACTTCCATGTCCTGATGTGACTGAGAATAAGGTATTTAATTTCCTGTCCATTAAAGAAAAATATTGAGAAGCCCAGGCAGGAGAGATTTAGAGGCATTTCTTATGAAGATTAACTTACTGGTGAAGTATTATTTATAAAACTAAGTAAAAAAAGAAATCAAGAAAATGATAGAGACTTCATCTGTTTTCTTTTCTAATATCTGTACGTTGGAGGAAGACGTAATGATATTCCTGGCACGTCATTTTGCCCTCCGGAGCCATCAAACATTGTAGATGTGATTAAGTAGAATTATTTAAATATGGTCATATATCTTTACCTTTCTGGTCAATCACAAGTTCTGGTTATTTTTTTTTTAATAAAGAGTTTTTGATTTTGTTTTTTGTGTTTTAAAATGTAACCCAAGTATCCCAAAGTCCCCAGGCCTCTTGGGGTCATTCTTTTATTTAATATTCAAATAAAAATGGCTTAAGCTCCCATTCTACATAATAGCAAGTTCTAGTTTTAACATATCTTTCCTTTAAGTTTAACTTTCTTTCTTTCTTTTTTTTTTTTTTTAAATCCATGCTTATGTTCCTTAAAAGGATTGGAAAAGGGAGGGAGGGGTTTTTGGAAGTATTGTTAAGAGGCCCCGAGCAACTGAGCCCATCATTACATTAAGCCCTAATTTTCGTCTTCCCCAGAGGATACTGTATCTTCGTAGGGCAGCTGGCTAGAATTCAGGATTGTCACTTAACTGAGAACAGGGTGAATCCAGTACTGATGAACTGTTTTCATGAAGCCTGAGTAGTACTGTAAGATCCAGGCCCCTGGGGAATCTTTGTTGAAAGAGAGCCTAAAGACCCACCTGTAGTTTTTCCACACTAAGCCAGTAATCCCTTGTATTTGGGGGGGGAGGGGCAGATAAGATCATCCTCATCCGTTTTAGGAGCCAGGACCTGAGGTGGCTAACCTCTATATTGTTTTTTTACGTTATTCTTTTTTTTAAAATGATGTATAGTTGATTTACAATGTTGTCTGAGTTTCAGGTGTACAGCAAAGTGATTCAGATATATATAATATATATATTCTTACATATATGTATATATAATATATTCACATACATATATATTTTTTCTTTTTATATTCATATACATATATATGTTCTTTTTCAGATTCTTTCCATTATAGGTTATTACAAGATATTGAATATAGTTCCCTGTGCTATGCAATAGGTTCTTGTCATTTATCTATTTTATATATAGTAGCATGTATATGTTAATCCCAAATTCCTAATTTATCCCTCCTCTCCACCTTTCCCCTTTGGTAACCATAAATTTGTTTTCTATGTCTGTGAGTCTTTCTGTTTTGGAAATAAGTTCATTTGTATCATTTTTAAGAATCCACGTATATGTGTTGTTCTATGATGTTTGTCTTTCTCTTCCTGACTTCACTTAGTATGATAATCTCTAGGTCCGTCCATGTTGCTGCAACTGGCATTAGTTCACTATTTTTTATGGCTGAGAAATATTCCATTGTATATATATATATGCCACATCTTCTTTATCCATTCATTTGTCGATGGACGCTTAGGTTGCTTCCATGTCTTGGCTATTGTAAATAGTGCTTCTATCAACACTGGGGTGCATGTATCTTTTCAAGTTAGAGTTTTTGTCTTTTCCGGATATATGCCCAGGAGTGAAATTGCTGGCTCATATGGTAACTCTATTTTTAATATTTTAAGGAACCTCCATAGTGTTTTCCATAGTGGCTGTGCCAATTTACATTCCCATCAACAGTATTGGAGGGTTTCCTTTTCTCCACACCGTCTCCAGTATTTATTATTCGTAGAATTTTTGATGATGCCCATTCCGGCCGATGTGAAGTGACACCTCATTGTAGTTTTGATTTGCATTTCTCTAATAATTAGGGATGTTGAGCATCTTTTCATGTGCCTCTTGGCCATCTGTATGCCTTCTTTTGGAGAAATGTCTGTTTAGGTCTTCTGCCCATTTTTTGATTGGGTTGTTAGTTTTTTTGATATTGAGCTGTATGAGCTGTTTGTATATTAAGAAAAAATTTTAAGTAACATAGAATACAAAGAAAGCAACAGTTTATTCAAAATGGCCAGAAATAACAAGGTTTAGCATTTGGTAAGAATAATTCCAAACACAACTTTATACCCATAATCAGACAAAACTATGGATACGTAGGTGGTAGGTTAAGTAGATACATAAAAAGAGTTTTATAAACTAGAATCATACTGTACATGCCTTTTAAATGTATTATATTTATCATACTTGAATTGAATAGAAAAAATAAGCTGAAGAAATAGCTGAATTGCAGATATTTATTTAACAAAGTGATCATAAATTATTATGAATTGAAGCTATACTTTTTTCCCCATTAATTTCTTTTACTGAGTTATAATTTACATAGAGTAAAATGTAAAATGTACCTTTTCTTAGGTAAAGAGTTCTATTAATTTTTTTAGAACATTTAATTTTTAGAGCAGTTTTAGGTTTACAAAAAAGTTGAGAGGAAGGTACAAAGATTTCTCATCAGCCGTCTGCCCCCACACACACTAGCCTCCCCCATTGTTAACATCACTCACCAGAAAGGTACTTTTTTTTTTTAACCAAGGATGAACCTACATTGATATATCATAATCACCCAAAGTCCATAGTTTACCTTAGGGTTCACTCTTGGTGTTAATACATTCTGTGGGTTTGGACAAAAATACAACGACACATATTTGCCACTATATCATACAGAGTATTTTCACTGTCCTAAAAGTATGAAACTATATTTTCCATTTTTTTTTTACTGCATGTTCCTTTCCAGTAGGAAAACAAAATTTAATTAAAAGAAAGTTTGAAATACGCATATTTAAAGCAAAGCTTTGCATAAAATGTGCCACATAATTTTAGGAGAAATTTTATTGAGAATAAGATGTTATATATCCCTTTGCCATTTTCCCCTCAATTTTATTAAGGTCTAACTCACATATAATCAAATGCACTCATTTTAAAAATATAGTTTGATGAGTTTTGACAAATGTATACACCCGTATCATCACCAACATATTCAAGATATAAAACATTTCCATCACCCCCAAAGTTCTTTCTTCCCTTTCCCAGCCAATCCCTCTTTCCTACACCCTACAACCAGTGATTTGCTATCTGTCATAGATTAGATTCGTTTTCTAGAGTCTCCAATAAATGGAACCATACAGTATCTACTCCTTTATCTGACTTCTTTTGGGAACTTATCCA